ATAGATAGATAGATAGATAGATAGATAGATAGATAGATAGATGATAGATAGATAGATAGATTAGATTAGCTTGATGATAGATAGATAGATAATAGATTACATAGAAGATAGATGAAAGATGATAGATAGATAGATAGATATAGGTGATAGATGATAGATCATAGATAGATGAAAGAAAGAAAGAGAAAGAAAAAAGAAAGAAAGAAAGAAAGAAAAAAAGAAAAAAAAAGACAAGCAGATAAATTTGACTTGTGAGTACTGAAAGGAGGTTTCTTAGAGGTTTTCAGAAAGCAGCTAAATCTGAGGCAGGGCTCATGACCAGCTTCTGGACATATTTAGACAATTCACTTGCTCAGAACATGGCAATAAGCCATCATTGAGCTCTCACCCAAGGTGCCCTCCAGCAGACACAGAGATCAGTGAAGGAACAGCCAGGAACATGTATTTTAGAAAAGAAGATAATAGTTTGATTCAATCTGCTGGAGGGAAAGGACTTAGGGCAGCAGAAGCTTCTTTAACCAACAACTTCAGGCAATGAAGCCAAAGTCATCAACTCCCTCCCTCTTCCTATACTATTTTGTAGTGATACAGCTCCCTCCTTCCTAACACTGCTTCTCTCCTGTCTGGTGCTCCTCATCTCTCTGATCACCAGTCCCTGGTATCCTTCCTACATCTTCATCTCTCTCATCTTAACTCTTACCAATGTGAGAATGAAATGAGATGGATGATGGGTCCTTTTTAAAAACTTCCTCACATATAGTAAGTGCAAAAATATAATTTTTAATGAACATTTTTTCCTTGATGCGGATCACCAAGTCACACAAGACAGATACCCTGATGCGGGCTGTGTGTACTGGGTAAGCTTCCTCAGCTAATCTGAGCAGATGAAGTCAAAGCATTGCCTGTGTTTTTAAGACGCTTAGGTAAGGGCAGCTTACGAGCATGCCTGTCTAACATGCAAGGAGCCCTGGGTTTAATCCCAGCATTACATAAAGCAAGGTATGACAGTGAACACCTGTAATCCCAGTACTCAGAAGGTGAAGGCAGAAGTATCAGAAGTTCAGTGTTATCCTTGGCTATGTATCAAGTTGGAGGTCAGCCTGGGCTACAAAAGACAGCATCTCAAAGAAATAAAAAGCAAAATACCCTAGTAAATGTTTTCTTAGCTCCAAGCTAAACTTCTTAGGGCCCAGCTAATTGCCTCTTTTAGCATCTGCTCTACTTTCCACTTTACCATGGCCACTATGTCCAGCCACACTGGAGTACATGTTGATCATAAATGTGACACTGACTCCCATTGCTCTGTGACTTTTGGACATTTTTACTTCTCCGCTTTCTGTCGAGAACTCTCTTGTCCCAGAACTCTGTCCTTGACTTCCCACACTTATTCTTCACATCCTGGCTTACTTTCTCTCGCTACTTGTGCTACTTGTTCTAAGCTCCTTTCCCCTGGGTATGATGAAGCATTTTCCATTCTGTGCACCCAAATAACTTTGTTTAGGCCGACTTGCCTTTCATGCATTCACTCTCCTGATAATAATACCCTTTTGTTTTCGCTTAATCATAAACTCCTTAATACCAAGGACATTACTCAACTCACTAATTAGCATTAGATTAATGTTTATTCAAGATGAAATAAGTGTTACTAGAGAAGACTCTTTCAATGAGCAGCTAATGACCATAGAATAGCTAAGCGGTAGATAGGCCTGAACTTCAGGAGGGCATACAATGTCAGTGCACGGTACCCTTAAGTTTAGAACAAGGATCTTTAGAACAAACAAAATGCCCAGGGAGTCAAAGGGCATGCGGAGAAGTACAAAAACAAAGCAACTGAAATGTCTTAGCTATGATAGGTGAGGGGAGAAGCGGCAAAACCTAGGATCCCTTACCTGGAGGCATTAATGAGGAG